GAAATGAAAATTGTTAAAGTTAGGTGATTGTTTATACTGGGATTTATTATAATTTTCTGTTATCTTTTTATAGATGTTTGAAATTATGTATAATGAGTCAAAAAGAAGGTTGATGATGAACAGAATGGACAGTACAGTTCCACTTTGGTTTTAAAAAAAGCTTTGTGTGCACATGAATACAAAAAGAGCAGAAGGAAATGCAACAAAATGTGTATACACCATTGACTGTCTTTGAGTAGTGGCTTTAGGTGGGGTAGTATTTTGTTCTAGGTGCTTTTGTGTATTTTTCAAGTATCCTACAAGACTACATGTTGATATCATGATAGGTAAAAGACCCTCCTAAAAAAGTTTCCTGGTGCTCAAGCAGTCACCTAGATAGTAACACATAAGGTAACGTGAAGCCCAAATGTGCCATCTGGGCTTACAGCCCTGAGACAGCCAGGAAAGACCACAAATCGCTTGAATAGCTCATCTAGGGCCAGTCCTTTGGACTTCTGCCATAGGAAATCTCAAAGCCATGGTATATGTACATTCTAGAAGCTGCCCAGAATGTGTGGGCCTAATCTGGAGCATTTACAAAACCATTCACAAAGTAGACGGTTTAAAAAAATCAAGAACAATCCTTGGGTGAGAAATTGAGCCACTGCCAAGTTTTTCATTTCAAATTTAGATTGCACTGGAGTTCACCAGGAATTTATCCTGATAATTCTTTTTTCTTTTTTTGAGAGAGAGAGAGAGAGACTGCACGTGTGTGCTAATACCAATTTTCTTTTAGTACATATATTTGCAAGTTTCCAAAGAATGTAATATTTTGGGACATAAAAATGGCACAATAACAACCCATCACTTAAAAAAAAATCTTTCCCCAAATGCTCCAAAAATAAGTAAACAAAAAATAGTAGGTAACCAGAGACCTACGTAAACTTTTTTTTTTTAAGATTTATTTATTAATTTTAGAGAGAGGGGGAGAAGCAGACTCCTCGCAGAGCCCATGGCAGGGCTTGATCCCACGACCTGAGATCATGCCCTGAGCTGAAATCAAGAGTTGGACACGCCTTAACCTTAACCGACTAAGCCACCCAGGGGCCCCAGAGACCTATGTAAACTCTTAAAAAAGATGAAAAGGGAAGATTTTTCTATACAAAGTAAATATCACATGAAATTATCTTAATAGGGATAATCAATCCAATTATGGCAATGCTAACAGATGACATGGATAAAAACAATCAACCTGCATGAGATCTCTCTCTCTCCTCTAGAGTTTCTAAATCTTTGTGCTTCTATTACATACTAACTTAGATTGCATATTTGTAAATATTTTCGCTCTTACTATTTTTTAAACCTTTTGAATGTAAAAATCAAGTCTCTGAATCCCTAGAAAGTTTTGCATATGGTAGGCAATTAATCAATGGTTCAAATTATCAAAAATTGTAATATTGATGAGAAGACAGAAGGATGAATGACATAACATTCTCAAATAATTTAATGAAAATCCAGAAAAAATATGGTACATCAGGGTCACACTGGCATGAGAAAAATGCCTGCCTAGAGATAAATCAATAATAGCTAGAAATCCCCTCCTTTTTAAGAGATTAGATGTTGGAAGAAAAGGGGTCGTAATATACAGCATCATTCATTATGCGTTCTTGAAAAACATCCTATTCTGCAAAATGCACTACAAATAACAGGACTTATGGGGGAAAAGTAGGGTTGGGACAGACAGCTCAACACCTATGCAACTTTGTAACTACAGCACTAACAAAAACATTGACAATACTACTTAAATTACTAGCATGGTTAAATCTCTACTGACTAGCGTCCTTAGCAGCCTTAAACCCCGGGACTCTTGCTTCTTTGAGATGTAGGTCTTGGAGGGCATTCGTTGCCGATAGAGACTATTTTCATAAAAATTAACCCAAGGATTATTAATCCACTGTTTTAATACAGAGGGGGTGTCTTTGCAACTTCTTCAATTGCCCTGGTAGCATTTCACGTAAGGCACTGAAAAGAAAGATATTTCTGTAGATTTTCCATTTTTTCCCCTACGGTCTTCATATTTCACTAAGCCTGACCCTTCCATTGTGAGACAGATTGACTTTGATTGTTATGAAACATTCCATGTGCTGGGAAAAGTGCTGGAAGCACCATAACTTCTGGGTTATACTAGCATCATTTCTAAATGCATGTCAGGTAGGGGCGCCTGGGTGGCTCAGATGGTTAAGCGTCTGCCTTCGGCTCAGGTCATGATCCCAGGGTCCTGGGATCGAGTCCCGCATTGGGCTCTCTGCTCCTTGGGAGCCTGCTTCTCCCTCTGCCTCTCTCTCTCTCTCTCTTGTCTCTCATGAATAAATAAATAAAATCTTTAAAAAAAAAAAAATGCATGTCAGGTAATTAGGTCAAAGAACAGACTGGTAAGTGGCTAACCAGGTGTTGGCATATATGACCTCAGATTATACCGGGAGTAGTTGTAACAGTTGTAATGACGATAGCCAGCAACATTTATTGAGGTTTACTATGTGCCAGGCATGATGCTAAATACTTTATATGAGTTATCTCAAATTCTTCCCACAGACTTTATGAAATAGATAAAGCAACAGATATTCAGTAAGATTATTAATCTCTGCCCAAGGTGACAAAGCTATTAAGTGGTAAAGCTAGAATTTAAATCTTGATCTTTCTGACTCGATGGTTCAGATTTTAATAACCACAATGGAATAATAGTGTTCATTCAGTGAAAATATGAAGTGATTCTACACTACTAACTGACAAGTTAGTCCTATGTGCTTTATCCTACTGGTACACATAAACATAAATGTTGATATGATGTATGTACCTAGAAAACCACTAAGCATTGTAGAGTGTGTATTATTTTTCCAGATTTAAGCTTTCTGGCTAGGATGTAAGGAAAATCTCTGGACAAGCCCAAAGGAGAATTCCAGAAACATGACACCTCCTTTTCAGTTCTTTCCAGCTGGGTCACAGGCCTGCTGTGATGACTCAGGCTATGTAAGGGCCTTGGAATGGACACACCGGCACACTTCTGAATCCCACACAAGACATCAGGCTGTATGGGGTGGGGCGGAGGGAATTATGACTGGGGAACTCATATCCAACGACAGCCAGGATTTTAGGCATGAATGCCAACAAAAGAATTCTGGTGAAATTTTGGTGACCTTTAACAACTATGAATTCTGTACTTACTAATGTACCAGGAATTAACTATGCCAAGGATTAGGGCTACAAAACTGAATAACCTATTAAGACCTCACAGGCCTGTGGAGTTACCTGTAGGCATTTCATTGAACATACTCTTTGCCAGGCACTCTTCTTAGCACTTTACAGGTATTAACTCATTTAATTCTCACAGCCCTGTGATATATATGGTCTGCTATTCTCCCTTTTTTTTATAGTTGATGAAACTCACATGCAGAGAGGTTAAGAAACTTGCCTAAGGCCACATAGCTGGTGAGCAATTTGGACTTAGGCTATTTGAGTTCAAAGCCTGCATTCTTAACCTCTTCCCTGAATTCTCTCTTCAGCAGAGGGAAAAGAAGGGGCTGAAAATTACAATGTGGGGTGTTAAAAATTATAGACCTCCGTACAGAGCGGAATGTTAGTAGAGGAGAGAGTGACTAATTCCGCTAGGGGTGGTGGGGGGGATGGCATGCTGGGAGGAGTGCTAGGTCAGCAAAACCTTCACAGCAGATGTCAAATAGCTATCAGGGACAGCAGATCAAACAGCGTGGGCAAAGGCACGGGGGTGGGCGTTGGCCTGGCATGCTTGCTGTTTGCTACTGTTGATATATATAAAGTAAACAGGGGAAGGGTGGCAGGACAGAAGTGTGCACAGAAGCAGGAAGAGATCCAATAGAAGAAGAATTCGATTCTATGAATTGGTCATACCCAGGAGTCTGTGTTCAGGTGGGAAATATTGCAGTAGGTTTTAAAAGGGGGGCGGTGGGAGTGAAATAACCAAATCTGCCCTGTCGGATCTAGCTGCGGTGTGAAGGATGGACTGACGTGGAGGATGGGGGTGGTGGGAAGAGATGGTAGCACCTAGAAGTAGGCACTGACTCCACCTAGGAGACTGTTAACAACAGCCCCAGTGAGAAGCTGAGGCGCTGGTGATGGCAATGGGCAAGGAGGCATGAGCTGGGAGATTTTCTGAGGTCGGTAGGACTTGAGGGTTGGGTGGGTGAATTGGTTGGGGAAGCGGGGTGAGAAGGTTTCTTCATTAGGGGCAAGCTTGATCCTTATTCTTGTTCTCCCTGCTGTGCGATCTGAGTCAGCTCTAGACTCTTGCCTGGGAACTGGGGCTTCTTAAAAAGGCACTGCATTTTCAGGTGTATGGAACTCAATGTGGTTAATACCTAATTCCTGGTATTATGACTTTCACCTTCTTTCCTGTAGTGTCAAAAGCCTCCCTGAATAAAACAGCAATGGTTTATCTGCTGATGATTATCGGTTTCATGATATGTCCTACACAGTCCCACAGCAACTCTGCCTATTTGCTGGGGATGCCCACTGACAGATAATTACCACCTGGTGTCCCTGCACTGTACTAATGATCACTGATCTCATTTTACCTTAGCTCTGAAGTCATAGTCAAAGATGGGAAAATTACTCCACTCCTAAGATTGGTGGAGAAAACCAAGAACCAAAAGCCAAAAGGAAGTTATGTTCCATGCTTACAACTCCCTCTTCCCCCTTAGCTGGTTGGCTTGCTGCTTTATTCCAGCCACTAAGTGGGAAGCTCTTGGGCTCTCTGGAGCTTGTGATGTTCAGGAGCAAAACCCACTCAGCAGAGGGCGAGGCCAGAGCTGGGAGGATGACTCATGTTGGATCCAGAAAGAAAACAAATGGTCTCAAAAATTTGGTGGTAATGGGGTAATAGTTAGGGGGAGGATATGTGGAGAGGGGTCACTGCCTTTTCCAGGAAATTGGTTAGTGAAACAATTCTGGTGGGAAAAGACTAAAAAAAAAAAAAAAAATCCACTTACTGATACAAGAAATCAGATCATTAAATCTTTCCTTAGGAAAGAGGGGGTTTTCCAGCCCACGGAAATAGAGCTTCAGAACGCCAGCAACTGAGTTAATATCATGGTTACTCTGGTCATCAGCCAAAGGGTTTTCACCTACAAAAAAAAAAAAATTATTAGTTACATGCACAGTGCTTCTTTTTTTTTCTCTGAACAAAAATATGTTTCTATACTCACACGTTTCTTTATATACGTGTATCTTTTAATTACACTTTATGAAAGATTATATAGTACTAAAATTAAAATAATTGGTTTAGATACCCCAACCCATGATTAACCTAAAAATAGTTGGCCAAACAAAATAAAACTTTTTAAAAATCTTATGCTACGAAATAATCCCTTACAAGTTACCCAAATCTTAAAATAAAATATTGTGGGGACTTAGTTAAAATCTAATCTTAGCTTGACATGAATTCAAATACTACATTCTGTGTTTTTTATCCTACTGGGAAGAAGATACAATATAGACACAATATCAGAACTATTCTAGGGTGCACCTACTTATGAATACCTACAATTAAATAAATGCTTCCTCAAGTGGTACAGTGGCGTTCATGGTGCATCTGAAAGCTGCATTCAGCAGTGAGGGATTTGGAAATCAGACAGAGGAATGTGAAAATGTGCCCTTAATAGTACCAAGGGGTTTGTATAAAAAATAAAAACTTAAAAAATATATCACAAATATGAAATTATATTCTTCTTTATGGTAAGCAGTTTTAAAATGTACATAATTGACATGACTGTCCAACCCCCTCCCCGAGAATTAAATTGAGATAAAGTCCTTAAGAAACTCAACATAATATGCAGCCTTAAATCAAACTCCATTTTTAATTCACAGGTCTGTTCTAAAGTTCACAAAGATCATACATTTTAACTTTTTTTTTTGGCCTCTCCAGCAGCTTACTCTCAGGGACCTGTGATTCCTTTTTCTCCGCTTTCTCTGGCAAATCACTGAACACAAATTCACCAAAAAATATATATATATATATATTTTGCCCACCAAGAGAAAGCCTCACCCAAAGAGATCACAAACCAGTAACAAATACTAGGGGAATTTCTAATGAAAAATAATAAAGCATTTTGCCTGTGGTGACTGGCACAGGAAACTGATGCTTTATACATTTCAACTTATGCTGAATATGGTTCCTGTAAGAGACTTGGACCACTTCGCTGCTGAGGGGAGGCTGCTCTGCTCTACACATCCTATCAGTCAGAGAACTTAGAACAGGAAAAACCATCTGGCTCCAAGTTTACCTCTTCCACCAAGCTTTCAAACTCTCAAGGGCTCCCTGCCAAGGGAAAAGGGACAGAGAATGAGAGAAGGTTGCCCTGTCTCCATGCCATGATGCCCCTCACTCTGTATGTTTGGCTTGACTTCCAAGTTAGATGTATCCAACAGTAGACATGATAGAAATCATTATAACTGAGGTGAATTAATAACTAAGAACCACCCCTACACAGAGTTATGCATTTTCACTGATTATACCTAATCCTTACCCTGATCCTGGAATTCTGCAAATGATGAAACTGAGGCCAAAATAGGAGATGAGTAACTTGACTGAAATCAAATGATGAGTAACTGGAAGAGTGATTTGATTCTGGGTCTGCCTAACACTAAAGTGTATGGTTTTGCTAATTACAATGTGCAAAGTAACAGTTCAGTAGGATTTATTTGACAGCCAATGATGAACAAGAGTAAGGCCCAACTAAGGTCACAGGGAAGGAGTCTGGGGATGGTTAAAAGAGGAAGGAAAGCATTCCCGACATGCAGTTGGGATGAGTCACTCCCAACACCTACTAGGTAGGCTCAGGGCTATCCTGCCACTCTTCCAGAACCTTCTCATGGGTTCTCATGCCACTTTTGACACACATGCTGAGAATGATCAATGCCAGTCCTAAACCAGAATACAAAGCTCATATGCCTTTCTATACTTGATAACAAAGCCTTTCGATTTTGGCTTCATTTCTCAGCTATTCTAAACAGATTGTTACCTCAACATCTAAAATGAAGTGAATGCAAAGAGAAAGCTTTTGAAGATCTACAGAATGAGTATGCCACTTCACTCTAGAGCAGCTGATGGCTTTTTAACGTGGTTTGCTTATGGGTACAGACATGCAATTACCTCTCTCAAATGAATTTTTAATATCATTGACTTCCACCTGGGAACCAGACACTCTGAAAATCCCCTGATGTTGAAGACCTAAAGAGAATAGAAGATGAAGAGGATGAAAAACCCCAACACAACTGCTAGGTCCCCCTTTCCCTAATAATCAAATGTTAATTGAGAAGACACATTTACTGAAATACTCCTAGTGATTATTTTTTTTAAGTAAGATTTCAGGGGCACCTGGCTGGTTCAGTTGGTGGAGCATGTGACTCTTGATCTCAGGGTTGTGAGTTCAAGCCCCACGTTGGGTGTAGAGATTTCTTAAATGAATAAATAAATAAATAAATCTTTAAAAAAAAACAAAACCAAAAAACAAAATAAGAATTCCATAGTTTATGGTTTACCATAGAGATTGATGAACCGAATACAGCTTTCCACAATGAGAGGGATAATCTGTCCTGAGTCCTGGGTAAAGAGATGGAAACCAGTTAACCACAAAAGAGAGGCATAAATCACACATAATAACAAAGTTCACAGTTTAACCCTAATTAAAGAGTGCTTTTTACTCTTTTAGATGATCATTTCCAAATACTCCCCCCTCTAAAATATTCCACTAAGGCCAAAAATAAGATTATATTTAACCAAAGGTATATTTCAGTTCTGGAGCAAACCACATTAAATACATTTAATGCAATCCTGTTTCAATTTCCTCTGTTGTGCCTAGAGATGTCAAAGCTAATTCATCTGTTTTACTTATATTTAGGCTCATGTATCAAAATGAATACATGAATCACTCATTTTTCTAAGGGTTATTTATACAAGTAATTAATCTAATGGACCTAAAAAGAACTCCATGTATTCTAACCATAGCACCTTAGAACTGACTGGCCATACCAGTCACTACACACAGCGTTTTAGACACCCCCGGACCCTCTCTGTGACATCCTGAGAGTACACCATCTGGATGACAACAGTTATAAAAAAGCTTACATGCTTCCAGGTACATGATAGGAGGATTGCCTTCTACATGATTATAATGTGTTATATATTTATTTGGTTTGCATCAGAACTTACTCATCCTTATAGATTTTTCATTGTTATTTTTACATGTTTTAAGGATTATGAAAAAATGGCACAAATGCACATCCCATTAGATCTTGTTTTCTGAGGAAGGGAGAGTTTTTTGGCCTCTTTCCCCACATCTTATCATAGAGTCAGTGCACTCTACTGAACAAATGTGAATTCTGGAAATGTTTTAAAACATGTATAGGATGACAGATGAGATGAAGGAGCTGCTAAGGTCACAGTTAAATATGTATCAATGCCATGCACTCCATGTAGTTAAAGAAGGTTACTGACTATGGAGTTATTTTTCATGTACTTTGAAAGACTGCTCTTTCAGGAATTAGATCTTTATAGGAAACATGGAGGTTCAAAATGATTAACAGACATCAGGTACTAATTCATGAGGAATTTTATTCTGAAACACAAGAATTTGGTTGTCATAATATATGAGAACAATTCAGAATCTACTAACCTTTCCAATTAAGTAACAGGGGAAGGATTGGGAATAATGCAGCTGAGCCATTTAAACTCTTTACTATTCCTAGAATGGCTAATACACTTCTTGAGGAATAGTTTTATCAGTGTGTAAACCAGTTAATGCTTCAGTCACTTCTCGAGACTGTATTAAGTTTCTCTAATTAGTTAATTTGTTTTAGGGATGTATACTTTATTAATTTCTTAGAGAAGGTCCTTTAAGAATAAAAACTCTTTAGTGTGGACTAGTTGGCTCAGGAATAGCGATGTAATTACATCAACACTTACTGAACATGTGAGGGGATTTTTCTTTAAGATACAAGTCTGTTTTAGGGGAAGTAACCCTTATATGACGGATTCACTTAACACTGTAATCTAAAAGAGCAACAAATATTTAAATGTAAAGTGATAAAAGGAGAATATTAGTTTGCACCTCTGCCAAACTTAGTATTAAAACAAAAAGAAAGAGTAAAATGTTATTAAAAGAAAAATGTTTGCACTAAGAAGGTTCTAAATAAAAATGTCTTAAGTTTTCACATTATTCCAAAAACATTTTCGTCTTTACATTTACTCAGATAATCGCTAATCTTTTGCTTACCATCAGTATTTTATTCAGATACAATGAATTTTGTGGTCAAAAAGTAATAAGTGTGTGTGTTTTAATTTAATTTCATGGATGCCAGATGCTTTGGCAGAAAATAGTTTACAAGAAGTGAAACAATGGGCTGTGCTCCACCCACCATTCAAACAAACAAATAACAAACAAAAAGGGGGGGGGGTCCTTTTGTGCCTCAGTTTCCCCATGGGAAAAAGGAAAAATGGTTTGCTCTTGCTTTCTCACAGTGATATTGTGGGGACCTCAAGGGATGGAGCACTTCCCAGAAGGGCAGAGATCTCTGTATCCACTGTTTTGCTTCTACGACCAAAGATTCTTTAATATGCCATCTGGGATATGGAAGAGCTCACCTAAGTGAATTTCCCATGATAACTGGTTTACGCCTTCTTTAATACCTAAATTTGGTTTCCATTAATTGTTCTTAATGAAAAATCTTTTAAAAATATAATATGAGCTGTCCTATCATCTTAGGCAGTCATTCTTGTACTGTGTTATCAAATATAATGGAATCATACCCTTGTTTCTTTGAGCTTTTCTCTATTCCTTCTCTGCCAGACCATCAGCTGCATATCTCAGTCCTTTCATCTTATCTTTATCTTCCCTTCCCTCCAGCTAATTTGCCCCTGCTTATAAGCCTTGGGCTGGGAAGCTAGCTAATCAAATTTGACAATAATTTTATATTAAATTAGAGCCAACAAGGCTCTTTGGAGGCTTATGGCAGTGGGTTTGTGATTGCGATTTAGGTTGTCCAGTGGCTTTTCACTTAATGCCAAGGTAGGGCTTGTTTTTAAGGCTGCCAGAGGTTCTCAATCTCTCTCTGTATGTATGCATGTATGTATGTATGTGTCTGTCCGTGTGTACATGCCACACGCACATACACACATTTTTTCTTTTTTTTTTTTTAAAGATTTTATTTATTTATTTGAGAGAAAGAGAGAGAGACAGAGAAACAGCATGAGAGGGGAGAGGGTCAGAGGGAGAAGCAGGCTCCCCGCATACACACATTTTTTAACCATTAGAGCACATACTCGATAGAAGATCTGCCTTTAAAGAAACTAAGACATCTATAACATACTATTAAGGGAGGTTACTAATGATGTGATTTCCTACATAAATTTAGTCTTCAGAAACACTGGAGTCCATGACATAAAATGTTAGCCATGAAAGAGAAAGCTCTTCTCTTTTTTGTATAATTTTTCTGAGGGTCCATAATCCAGCATTAATGTGCATTGGGTATTTAACACTGACTTGCCTTAACAAAAGCCCTTGACTCAAATTTGGTACAATTGTCAAATATGTAATGTAAAAACTAAGCGTTTATCCACTTTTACTAGAAGAGACAATTCCTCTTAAGTCAGCGTTTGATTTCTATAACTCCTTTCTATAGTAAATAGGTAGAAAGCCATAAATAGTAAAGCCTATTTTTAAACCTAATTTCCAACTGCAAACATTTTTCTTTCAAAGACCTTAAAAATGTAATTAAAGCCAAGCACGATTATGATTTGAAAACGATACCAAGAGCAAAAGAGGCTGCGCCCTCGCCTCCCTGTAGCACTGTACCTGATGTCTCGCGTGTGAGTTCCTTCGTCCTCGGCTAGAAGCATTATCAGAAATACAGGATGAAAAAGAAGACAGAGTAAACACAGCAGAGATACAAGATACAGACTGCAGGGTCTTACAATTTATCCAATATAATGAATTCCTCAAGTCACGGGAAATCGAAACTCTTGCTGTGCTTCAGAGCTACCCTAACAATATACTTTAAAAATATATTTTGTGCCACCTAATTTGCACGAGTAAAAACAAAATATTTTATCAGGTAGCTCTTTTCCTCTTTGCACAAATTATGGCTTTTTTTTTTTTTTTTTAAAGAAAGAAAGAGGGCTTTCTCTTTTGCCAGCATAATACCCACATTTATTTCCTCTTCTGAAGGCACTCAAACCAAATATTCTTTCCTCTCTGACTTCAGGAAATATTATATTGATTTTCTGGGAAAGCAAAGAGCCCCAGGACAGACTTGGACATAATGACCTGCCTCCTTTTATGAGAGGCTGAGACCATTATAGTAAGAAGCGTGGAGATCAGCCACCCAGATGGCTGGTGCCAGTACCTTGACGAATGTTTCCAAATCCCCATTAAACAACTTAGCATTATACTGTGAGCGGGGTCTGGACTTCCTGTGTTTCTGGGGCTTAGGGGGAACATTTGGAGGCCTAAGGGAAGGGAATATAATTACTGAGCATGGCAGAAATCAAACAATAAATGAAATACCCATAGGTCACATCAAAATCACAAAACAGGATTTCTCGTGTGCCCTCTCCACCCCCACCCATGGGGGGAAAAGAGTCCTTCCCTTTTCCCATTTATTTACTTTTACTTATGTGATCAAAAGCGATACAAACTTCATTCAGACTACCCTTCTCTTGTATATTGTATATGACATTTGTTTGCTAGTTTGTTTAAAAATGGAACTGTGAGCTATCTGGCCAAGTGTTACAAACCCGACTGGCTTATGAGTCACATGGAAGACAAAGTGAGTCATAAAAATCAGGGCTCTTGATAAATCCCAATATGAGAAATTATAATATTTTTAGTTACAACATAATTCGTCAATGCAAGTAACGTCACATCTGTTCAGTATCCCTCAGATATTAATGGGGTTTTATTTTATGCAAAAAAGTAAGTATTAATGTGAAGTGAAAAATGAGTTTGGTTTCAATGTTTTCTCAGGGAGGGGGTAGATACAGGCTCATATGAATGACTATTTCTTTGTAACAAACTATCTCATCACTTAAATATTTGTAGAGCATTAGGATACACCCTTTATTCTGCTCTGGACTCTCCATCTCCAGTCTGCTTTGGTGGCTGAGCCAGTCTCTCTAACATACACACATCCGGTGCCCCACGTACTCCATTCAGACCCTGCATCATCTTGCTCTGTCATGGAGAGAGGGGGCCTCTTCTGTCCTCTTCCTCTAGAGCAGAGGGCCAGAAGTACCTGACTCAGCTTCTCCACCTGTGCTGAATGGTACACTGGAAGAAGAGTCCCAGCACTGTTCTCCAGACATTCCAATTTTAACTCCTTCTTCATTGGAAGGCTTATATGAGGGCATACATCATCACACTTGGAAATTAGGTAAAGCCCTTCATTATGCTGCAAACTGTCTAGGAAGAATTACCTTTTTAGTTCACTGGCATTCAGAAAGGCCAGATTAGAAACAAAATCCTAAGAATATGAGGAAGCCTGACTAGATTCATAAGATATTACCACATTCTTTAGCTATCAAGAGAGGTAGGGGAGCAAAGGTGACAGCCTTCCATAGCCAAATTCTAAGACTCAACCAGCAGGTGGGCTCAAAGGATTAATGGGTGTATAGTGAACAGCACCTGAAGCCCCATGTGCTTGAGAGGTTAAGAGGAGTTTTTGCAAGAGTCTAGAAGTGAATATGGAAACTTCTACCAGGCAGTCTATCACGTCCTGCCACTGGTGAAATTCCCGAAATCTCTTTTATATACTGAATTCTAGGCTATTCACAGGGGAAAGGATCTGGTAGGCATAAAAACCAAAACAACTACCCACCAAGGAGTTTTTTAACCTTATGTGATTGATTTCATCCACTCTTTTCATTATAAGTATTTTTTAAAGATTTTTAAAAATAATTTATTTTAGGGGGTGGAGGGGAGGGTCAGAGGGAGAGGGAAAGAGAGCCTCAAGCAGACTCTACACTCAGCACAGAACCCAACGCTGGGCTGGATCTCACCACCCTGAGATCACGACCTGAGCCGAAACCAAGCATCAATACCCAACCTAATGCACATGCAGGTGTCCCTCATTATTTTACAAGTGTTTTAAAATGTAGACTTTATTTTTATTCAGGGATGGTGAGGCCACCAGATCAGAAGCAAAGGCCATTGAAAAGACAGTTTGTTACCCACACTGCCCAAGAGGAGGGGGCAGGCTACTCCACGGGGGAGGGGTACATGGGGAAGCACCAGAGTAGATGGGGAGGCAGAGGGCGTTCGGGCAATGCTGTGGTTTCCATGGGAAGGAATGTGCGAGGGAGGGTAAGCAGGTTTAGGACTGGCTAGGTTGAGTAAGTCTGGGGGGCTCTGGGGAATAGGGACTATTCCCAGTTGTCTGGTACACCACACCACAAAGTGTGGTGATCAGGGAAGGGGGAGAGTGACCTTGAATGTGAAAGCCCGATAAAGGATGCAGTTGACAGTATGCGTCTGGACTGGTTGGTCTGCACACAAAAGGCATACTTGTGAGCATGACCTATTTCAATGAATTGGCTAACCTTGGGGGTAGTAGTCCCTCCAAGGTCAGCAAGGCCCCAAGACATCAAAGCATTCAATAGAGAAACCAGAAAACATGGTTATTACAAGGTCCAGCAGTGCTGCACACTTGGTGAGATCTGGAGCCGCTGACGAAGCTAAGGGGATAAGGACACAGACTCATCTCCTTCTGTCACCGACTCAGTCAAGCAAATCTTGCGGCTGGAGCCAAAGTCCCTTAGCAGAGCTAGATCATTGTCCCTGCATGACCGAGAGAAGCAGTGTAGCTCCTGGTTGGGGCACGTGAAGACCTGTCTCTGGAGTTGTCTACCAGAGGCCTGCAAGTTGCCTCTCCTGGCGATTCTAAAGTATGAGGCGAGTGTGACGACAATACCCCTGGGAGAGAAACCTGACAGGAAAACAAAGTGCCGGAGCGCTTATCAAAGTCCTTTCGGTGGCAGAGGCGGCTTCTCAGGCCCCTGACGGCACCGGCTTTCCTGTGCACTCATCCGGTGAACAGAATCAGGGCCGCGCCAGCCAACCCTGGAATGGTATGGCGCGCTCTGGTTTGCCGGCCCCCAACGACTTGCAGGTAATCCGGCTCCTGTGTAGGACGCCCGTGTGGATGAGAGGAAGTACAAGTCAGGTCGATGTGCGTATCTACTCTGTTTGGCAGTGACAGTTCTCATTGCAAATTCATGTATTTGCATTCCTTTCTTTTAAAAAGAGATCTTTTTCGAAGTGCTTTACGTTATATAATATAGAGACAAAAGTAGAACAGTTGGTAGCACAGGGATCATATATATGAAAAAAGCTCCATAAACTGCCTATTACTACGCAGAAGTAATACTCCTCTTTGTCACTGACACGGGGAAGGAAAAAAACCTCAGTATTTCCGTGAGATGCAGACAAGTCACTAGCTGTATCCTTCTAGTTGGTTCACCAAGAAGAGGGCTTCCTTTTTAATAAATTGCCCAGCAGGAACATTATAGAGCCTTGAAAATCAGCTTGCCAATTACTGCAAAACACACACACACACACACACACACACACACACACACACAGCCTTGAAAATCAGCTTGCCAATTACTGCAAAACACACACCCCCCCCCCCACACACACCCCAGTGTTCTAAATGCCTCTCACCTCAAAGAGAACTCAGCTTCAAGAGTGCAATGTCTAGCTATGTCAATTAGAATAATTTCTGGCTATTACACAAATGCTGGCACAGAAAAATAAAAGTTGCAACCTTTCCCCAACCCAAATCAGAATCTGCTTCCAAAAAGCTTTTCCTTCTCAGCGATAGCTTCAAAATCCCTTTATGAATGAAGAAAAAAAAAAGAAAGAAAAAAGTGCAGTATGCTGTAATATTAAAAGTTAAATCTTTAAAGTGAACCCAAAGGGGTAAGAAGCTAAAATCCTGAGTATTTGGTATAGTTCTAAGTTTTATATGACATAAGGAAAAGTAGGAACAGAAAGTAACTGATCATGCTTTCTATTTGCTAACACAGTAGATATGCACATAACGTTGCTTATTAATTAAATGATCAAATCAGACTATTTCTAGAAACTGAAAGTGTTTTTGATTAGATAAACCAAGCCCATTCGATTTAAATCTTTCTTAAGCAGTCTACTCGTTAAAGAGCTTCACAATTACACTGGGAAACCCTCAGATCTGCCAGAGCAAATCTGGTTTTGTGAGAACCCCAAACATTTCATGTTACTATGGTTTGTCGAGAGTCAAAACGATCTTCCATGTTCATTAACAAAATTCATTCATTCTTGCAGCACTGAACGGTTGCTTGTTGTTAAGGGGAAAAAAAAAGAGTGAGACACAGAGTTACGATAAAATATTTTCCTACCTTGTAGTCATATATTCAGCTCTATGACCTGCAGGAAAAAAATTAAAATAAGTAAATGGAATGGAATTGGTGGAATGCACTTGGTAATCTTTTGTATCACCTGTCCCTTACTTTTAGATGCTGAGTTTATAATAACTTACACATTTTATGGTGGAAAGCATGAGGATAGCATATCATGATAGACAAATAATTCGAAGTAAACATTTCATAAAACCTATACCTAAAATTTAATAAATCCTATAGATTGGAGGAGAAACATGTTTCACTTGGCAATTTGAGGCAGGAATATTTGTTATTCAGAAAACATGAAACAGCTGCTTGATCTTAACTGTAAGGTTAACAAAGAAATACAGATAAAACACATCGAAGGTTCGGATGTTAGTTATTTCCTCTGTCTTGATAGATACTTGGGTTAGAAGGTAGTCAGATAGGGTGGGAAAACTCAATTTCCTTTATATTAAGTTGGTGTTCTTTCTGTAATATGCAGTCAGGTGAGAAGTTGCATTTTATAATCAGAAATGACACTGGCAGGTATTAAGTACAAGGACATTAAATTATGCTACATTCTACAACCTGTAAGCTAACAGCCTTTCAGAGTTCCCTGTCATTTAAAACATGAGTTTCTTATATCTTCGGGCTTCTTGACTGGTTTTAAACATTGGCTCTGTATTTTCGTAGTGCTCCTACAATCTGTGCTAATTCCAAGTGTGAAGGTGGCTGTGGTTGCTGTCTGCTCTTTCTCACATTTCGGGTGGAGCTGTGGGAGGGGTTTGGAAGAGAGAACCACTCCACCGGTTTGTCTGCAAAATGACGTTGTGCTCCTGAAAGAGCCTGAAGTTACGGCTAGCAGAGAAGGCTCACGCTGCAGCACAAACAGGTACGCCCAGCCCATCCTATCAGTGATTCAGATTTGTGGGACGAGGCCAGTATAACATCTGTAGAGAAAGCTGGCTTGCTGGAAATGGTGAATGAACCCTCCAGGGCAACAGAGTCTTTTACTCTATTACCTGCTTTTGAAGAGTAAGAAACAAAGGATTTGATTAATGTTCTATTTGTTAAGGGGGGGGGGTGACAGTTAATATCAGAGAATACCCTCCTCAACCCAGACTCAGGCCACTGTTAGGTCTACTAGAATCAGTGCTGGGCCCTGACTCGGAGTGGGGGTGGGAGGAAAGGGGAAAAATCTGGTTTCCCCCACTACCCAGTTCTGTATATCCTTTAACTCTAACTCCCTTCCTTCTTCTGGCCTTTTGCTATTTTGCGGGACAAGAAAAAGGAGAAGGTGGACAGAGAACTCCAGAATAATTTCTAGCTGTTCTTAAGTGGGAGAGATGGTTTCCTAGGAAGTGGTGTCTTCCAGGATATCCTTCAGCAGGAAGCTGGCTGTACATGATTAAAGCACAGAGACAAGACAGGGCTGGAGATTAAGATTTGACAGTCACCACCATTTAGGTTGTTCTGGGGCCACGGGACCTAGCTGAGATCATGCAGGGTGAGTCAGGAGAATGAGCAAAAGGTTCTCTGAGGACAGAGAAACTAACAGCCTTGTGCTGTACTGTATTCTGTCATGCTGCATACTTTATTCTCACAGAAGTATGACACAAAATATACTACTAACAACAATAAAAACAGCAATGATGTCCAACACTTGGACACTGTTCTAAGCACCTTCTATACATTAACTCACAATTTTCACAAAACCTTATAAAGCAGGTACTGTTATTTTTATTTTATGGAAGAGACCAAGCATATAGGAGGCAAGTTACTGTGACTTGCTCAAGGTCACACTGTTAGTATGTGACGCATTTGGCCCTAGGGTCCAGGTTTTTTTTTTTTTCCACCCATAAATATACAAATCTTTTTTATTTTTTAAATTTAAATTCAAGTTAGTTAATATATGGTGTAATATTGGTTTCAGGAGAATTTAGTGATTCATCACTTACAATTAACAGCCAGTGCTCACCCCAGCAAGTGCCCTCCTTAGTGCCATCACCCATTTAGCCCATCCCCCACCCACCTCCCCTCCAGCAACCCTCAGTTTGTTCTCTATAGTTAAGAGTCTCCTATGGTTTGCCTTCCTCTCTGTTTTTTATCTTATTTTATTTTTCCTTCCCTTCCCCTATGTTCATCTGTTTTGTTTCTTAAATTCCACATATGAGTGAAATCAGATGATATTTATCTCTTTGACTGACATATTTTGCTTAGCATAATACCCTCTAGTTCCATCCACATTGTTGCAAATGGCAGGTTTTCATTCTTACTGATGGCTGAGTAATATGCCATTGCATATACATACCACATCTTTATCCATTCATCGGTTAATGGACATTTGGGCTCTTTCCCAATAAAATAATTCGGCTACTGTTGATAATGCTGCTATAAACACTGGGGTACATGTGCCCCTTCAAATCAACATTTTTTTATCCTTTGGATATATATCTAATGGTGCAATTTCTGGGTCTTTGAGTAGCTCTATTTTTAACTTTTTGAGGAACCTCCCCACTGTTTTCCAGAGTGGATGCACCAGTTTGCATTCCCACTAATAGTGCAAAAGGGTTCCCCTTTCTCTGCATCCTTACGAACATCTGCTGTTTACTGTTGATTTCATCCTTTCTGACAGGTGGTAGGTTTTGATTTGTATTTCCCTGATGCTGAGTGATACTGAACATTTTTTCATGTGTCTGTTAGTCACTTGTATGTCTTCTTTGAAGAAATGTCTGTTCATGTCTTCTGTCCATTTCTTTACTGATTATTTTTTGGGTGTTGATTTTGATGAGTTTTTTTTTTTTTTTAAGATTTTATTTATTTGACAGAGAGAGACAGCGAGAGAGGGAACACAAGCAGGGGGAGTGGGAGAGGGAGAAGCAGGCTTTCCGCTGAGCAGGGAGCCCAAAGTGGGGCTCGATCCCAGGACCCTGGGACTATGACCTGAGCTGAAGGCAGATGCTTAATGACTGAACCACCCAGGTGCCCCAATTTTGATGAGTTCTTTATAGATTCTGGATATTAGTCCTTTATCTGATACGTCATTTGCAAATATCTTCTCCCATTCCATAGGCTGCATTTTAGTTTTGTTGATTGTTTCCTTTGCTGTGCAGAAGCTTTTTATCCTGATGAAGTCCCAACAGTTCATTTTTGCCTTTGTTTCCCTTGCCTCTGGAGATGTGTCTAGGAAGAAGTTGCTGAGGTCAAGGTCAAAGAGGCTGCTGCCTGTATTGTTCTTTAGGATTTTGATGGTCTTCTGTCTCACATTTAGGTCTTTCATTCACTTTGAATTTATTTTTGTGTATGGTGTAAGAAGGTGGTCCAGTTTCATTCTTCTGCATGTCGCTGTCCAGTTTCCCCAACACCATTTGTTGAAGAGACTGCCTTTTTTTGATTGGATATTCTTTCCTGCTTTGTTGAAGATTAGCTGACCATATATTTGTGGATCCATTTCTGGGTTCTCTATTCTGTTCCATTGATCTCTGTGTCTGTTTTTGTGCCAGTACCATATTGTCTTGATGATTTCAGCTTGTAATACAGCTTGAAGTCTGGGATTGTGATGTCTTCCTCTTTGCTTTTCTTTTTCAATATTACTTTGGCTATTTGGGGTCTTGTGTGGTTCCATACAAATTTTAGGATTGTTTGTTCTAGTTCTGTGAAAAATGTTGGTGCTATTTTGATCAGGTCTGTTTTAATTCTAGACCTGAGCTCCCAAGTAATATATCGTAAAAATATAAGTCTTATTCCCCAGCAAATACTTTGAAAGATCCTAAAAAGAAGGGTAGGGATTATGGCTTACACTTCTGTCTCCCCCATATGGCTAAAATCAAATACAAAATGCTAAAGATGTACTAGATTATATAACACACATTAAGTTAAAATTATATAACACACATTAAGTTAAAAATTTAAAAGTCCTGGGGCGCCTGGCTGGCTTGGTCAGTAGAGTGTGCCACTCTTGATCTTGGGGTTGTAAGTTTGAGCCCCATGTTGGGTGTAGAGATTACTTAAAAATAAAATCTTTAAAAAGTAAAATAAAAATTTAAAGTATCTAACAAAATTAAACTGGATAATGGAGGTTAATCACTTTCAAGGGATTCAATGATAAAGACACTAATAACTCCTTAGAAATGAAATGTTTTCTAGAACTTTGAAGTTTTGCTACTTTTGTTAAAATATCCCAAGCAAAGATTCTCTAGATTTAGAAAAAGATCACATATTAAATGGCTTAAAATCATTTTGCTCCATCCATCCATGGTTAATAGTATGAGATAAAAAATTAAAAACCTATAAAAGAAACATTTTGATTAATGAGCCAAGAGCAAGCTTCTCAAGAACTATCATTCATAGTGTAACTGCCACCACCACATCCATCGTTTTGTTCAGCTAATAGTACTGTGCCTCAACTGATGAATGAGGTTTTATTTTTTAATCAGTATCATCATTAATAGATCAATAACACACAAGCTTAGAAGAATCTGCTTCCCCGAGAAATGTGAAAGCTTCCAGTGGTTTGAGGATTAGATTTCAATCACTTTCTTTGGAAGGCTATTTAATTATTAAAAACAACAGACAATTTCTTCCCTCACCCCCCTCCCCATCCCACAATATAAGCCATTTGGAGGCAAAAAATGACCCATGATCCAGGATTATCTTGTTCTTGCTACAAACACCTACTTTGACTATTCCGGTCATTTCACTTGAGAATTAAGAAGTGAATTATTTTTCATTCTCAAATGTAGTTTACCACCACAGACTAAAAGGGAAAACGAAAATACAGTGTGGTGGCAATCTGAGATTAAAAAAAAAGAAAACCCAACTAGATGAAATATTTAAAATGTGCACAGCTCAAACTGGACAGAGGCACCCGGAATTGGGTCCCTAATGAATGACTGATAAGGACTCCTGGCATTACTTTTCAGTCCTTTTTCTTCCTTAAGGATACACTGCTTTTCTAAAAAACATAATTATTCACAATCAGCTTCTCTTTTAAAAGTATGTTTGTGCTCCTACTCAAAGACAGACAATGGATTCAATGACGATAAGCCATTTAATTTCTTTGTCAGAAAACTTATGCCCAGGACTAGAAACAATCTAACATGGAACTCTGCTTCCAGTGTCAGATTTTCTGTGTTTAGTGAAAACTGCACTGATATTTACACCCCCTTCCCCTTAACTCCAAATGTTGCACATAAAGAAGCCAGTGTGAACATGAAGGCTTATTAAAAGAAAAAGAAACAATTTCAGTGCCTCAGTTTTACTGATGTAGATCTCATTTACTGTGTTGATGTAACTTCTCCAAATGAAAAACAAATGACATCACTTTATAATGGTGTTGCTGAAGGATGATGAAGGTGATGACTTTGGTCTTAACAACTCATTATGTGTTTCTTTTTATTTCAACAGTTTTCAGAGATGTGGAATTCTGAATTTTGACAGTGCGCCTTTAAGAGCCCAATCTAGTTGCTTCACAATGTTGTAAATCAAAGGACTTACTGGGCCTCTGGTAGGCTGCCAAAAGCAAGCGGTAAGACAGGCCAAACACATGTCTGTAGTTACAGTTTCAGCTGTGTACGATCAACTGCTAAATCCCTGGGTTAGGCCCTATTTGTTTTACTACGAAGGCAGTTTTTGCAGCAGTGAGTCTAGTATAATTCAGAGATGTGATCTCTCTATAAAAAGTCACGACTGTCCCCAAACACACCATCGAATCCTGTGCTACTAACCTTATTTCACTAAGCCCAGACTTGGATTCCTTCAGAAGGACTCCCCGATTATCTCATTGTGGGACAGGCACCAGGAACTTTCCTCGTCTCTTTTGGTTTAAGCCTATTAACTCGAACAGGGCTTGCACGGAAGGACAGCAGGCTCACAAGGGCTGAGCTAGAAGGTGGGGGCAGGCTCACCCTTTCTCTGGGCAACGCTGCCAGCAAGAAGCCCAGGCAGTGCCCGGTGTGTGGTGTGCTGCCAAGCCTGCACGTGGGGCAGGGCTGGGGGGCAGGAAGGTTTGCAGCGTGTGGGCAGAGGCTAGTGTGTCTGAGAACCATCCAGTTTCTGAGTAAATCCAATCTGCTGAAGGCCTGGTACCCCTGAACCCGGCTTGTGTCACTATGATACTGGAACCCAGTGAGAGAAATTCCAAGATAAAGAAATCCTGGCTCAGAGTTCCCAAGGTACAATACAGCTTTACACAGTACAGCAGCTAATGACGGAATCTGGCATATGGAGTCAGTAAGTCGCTAAAATAGAGCCCTATCCAATAATGCCATGTAAAATCGTATGAACCATGAGGGTTTTCTCTCCAGGAGACGTCGGGGAATCTATGTAGAATGAGTATCATAAAAGTTTCAGAATGGGACCCCAAGTGAATTAACACATGTGTCTGCACGCATGCCAAGAATGAATTCACCCACTACTTAATTGCGTCCAACTCACGATTTCTAACGTGGTATCCAGTCCTCAGGGAAGGGCTTTGTGCCAGTAAGCATTCGTCAAAACACTTAATGATAATTTATGCTTTGGGACCGGCACCTGACCTTGGGGGCATCATTGAAATATCAGGCATTTTGTGGTAGGTGGGAAAAATGATCTTACATGATACTATGAAGGAGAAAAGAAAAAAAACTGGGACATGATTGTTGAGGTAAGACAACTATTCAAAGGAAAAAAAAAGGTTTTTTAAAAAAAATTCCAACTTCCATTATAGAAGAGTTGAAAACCTTGTACAGGGCTACCCTTCACTGAGATTTCCCAACTGTTAACATTTTGCCATATTGGCCTTATTTCCTTTTCTCTCCCTCTCTATCTTTTCTCTTGGATCGATTGAAAGTAATTTGCAGATATTATGATACTTAGCAAACATTTCTTTTTTTTTAACTTCAATTATGATTTTCATTTTCTTAATATTGCCACTTTAAAAAAAAGGATTTTTATCTATTTATTTGACAGAGAGAGACAGAGCATGAGCAGGGGGAGCGACAGGCAGAGTGAGAGGGAGAAGCAGGCTCCCCGCTGAGGGGAGGGATCCCAGGACCCTGGGATCATGACCAGAGTTAAAGGCAGACGCTTAACCGACTGAGCCACCCAGGCGCCCCTTAGCAAACATTTCTTAAGAATAAGAATCTTGGGGCGCCTGGGTGGCTCGGTTGGTTAAGCGACTGCCTTCAGCTCAGGTCATGATCCTGGAGTCCCGGGATCGAGTCCCGCATCGGGCTCCCTGCTCGGCAGGGAGTCTGCTTCTCCCTCTGACCCGCCCCCTCTCACGCTCTCTATCTCTCATTCTCTCTCTCTCAAATAAATAAATAAAATCTTAAAAAAAAAAAAAAGAATAAGAATCTTCTCCTTCATAATCATACCACCACTGTCATATCTCAGAAAATGAATTCAATAATGTCATTTAATATACAGTCTGTCTATATTTAAATTTCCCCAATTGTCCTTAAAATGCCTTTTGTAACTTGCTTTTTTGATTCAAAATCTAATGAAAGTTCACATATTGTGTTTGGTTATTTTATTTAAGACACTTCCTAGTAGTTTAAATGTTAATTATTTTTCTAAATGAAATCAGCCTTTTATCTTAGAATCTGGCATCCTAACTGTAATACATGGAGCCTTAGGTCATGATGACCTTTCTCCGAGTGCTCATTCCCTGAGGATAATGTGTCCTTTGGAGGAAACCAGGAGATAAGGTGATGAAAAAACCGCCTTGTCTGTAGGAAGGTTCTAGAATGGTAGGGGGAAGAGGTCAAAGAGCAGCAGTCTCTTTTTGGCCTGAGTTACACACCTTTCTCCCCTCATTTCCCACTCCCATCTGTATTGTCTTTCACTTTTTATAACTTCTGGCAAGATCTAGTGTGAATAAAAGATAAAGTTACAGACTATGAGGCACTTAAAAAAGGGACTTTGCTTGTCTTTATTTTTTCCTTTTAAATTTCAAGAAGATTAAAAGAGAAAGAGTAACATTTACACAGTCCCTTTTAAAATATAATCCTTTTTTCCCCATTGTTTTTCTCATCTGTAAAAATGGGGAAAGTTATAGCCCAGCTCAATATATAGTTTAGAACAATGCCTAGCACAGAAAAAGCCCTGTAGAAGTGATAGCTATTCTTGCGTGTTATTATTAGCTACAGCAGTATACTTCATTAGATTTTTTTTCTCAAGTAAAATCAATGTCTATGGAAAGAAAAAAAAAAAAGTCGCCCAAACTGGTTTAACTGGTTCCTAGAGTCCACGAAGGCATTAGATGTGACAATAAATACTGGCCCACTAAACCAAAGGGGGTGGAGCTGGAAGGTTGGACAGGTCCCAGAGGGTAAGGAAGCAGTGGTTGGGAGGTCAGCAGGTGGGCGCAGGTGCAGCTTCACCCAGTCTCCTCCCCATTAGGGGCACCAGGTGTTAGAAGCACCAGGCTGGGCAAAGTGTTCCTTAGGAGTCTGGGCTGGCTTTTCAGCCCTCTGCAGATTTCACTATTCTTCCTCAAGGTTATTAGCAGCAAGCTAGAGTTCCAGGGAGAACCTGATTATTACAGTTACAGCAAAAGCCCAATCTAAACAAGCAGTGTTCTCTGCTTCTTAAAACACAAATCCACAACTCACACTCTTCATGGAATAGCTATGTGACACAATACAAAATCCATGTCATCCTCCCTGTCTGCTTCAAATAACTGACCTTCTCCAAGGGTCCTCTGCAACAAGTCATGTTTGGCTTGAAGTTTTGTGATGAGATTACTACCTTCCAAATATTCTCTGAGTTTCTGCAAAAGGAAAGATTCGTTTTTAACTTAAAATATATTTCATGTCAGGGAACTTCCCACAGGATATCTAAAATCCAGCCACTTTTACCTGCTAGATTCTAGAACCTTGCTACTCCCGAGTGCAGTCTGATGCAGACCAGCATTATCTGCCATCATCTGGGAGCCTATCAGGGATGCAGACTCCCAGGTCCCTCCTTCCCCAGACCTACTGGAATCAGAACCTGCATGTTAACAAGCTCTCCTGGTGAAATGTATGTACGTTAAAGTTTAAAAGTGGTCTTAGAGCAGCCCTCTTTAAATCTGAGGAACTTTTACAAAAGTACTAACTCCTAGATCCTATCTCAGACGAACAGAATTGGGAACTCCGAGGGCAGACAGGAGTCTGTATTTTAATAAAGAACCCAGGTGATTCCAATCCAACTCTAGAAGCTGTGTTTGGGGACCCCAGATCTGAGCCCCAAGAGCGTCTGGGAAGCGACAGACGTACCATGAAGTAGAACTGCTCCGTCTCCTGCTGGTTTGCTCTTCTCTTGGCAATGCTGGGCTTACTCAGGTAGGTCTCGGAGACCGTGGACTTCACAGACTCTGTGGAACGGCTGTGCTGGAAGCATTCAGAGACATCGTAGTCCTCGATGGTGACCATATCTTGTATGGTCTGCAAGGTGGCTTCGGTCGTTTTCTTAACCTGGGGACAGGAACACATTTCTCCTGTTACCACATGATTTCGTGGATCCCACACTCAGAATCTACTCTGTCAGGCAGGGGTGAAGACATAGGCCCTGCCCCAAGAAGAGGAGAGAGAGACAGGTAAACAACAACCACTACCACCAACATGAAGAGAGGCTCTCTTTAACATCATTCTCAAGAGGATATTTCTGTGTATTTGGATCCTTATAAATCTCATGTATCACTGGGTACTCTCTCAATTACATTTTTTATTTATTTAAAAGATTTTATTTATTTATTTGACACAGAGAGAGAGAGAGAGAACACAAGCAGGGGGAGAGGGAGAGGGAGAAGCAGGCTCCCTACTGAGCAGTGAGCCTGATGTGATCACTGGGATCATGACCTAAGCTGAAGGCAGACGCTTAACCGACTGAGCCACCCAGGTGCCTCTCAATTACATTTTTTAAAGCAACTTTTTAAAATTGGAAGTTAAACTACACACAAAAAATACACACATCATAAGTATATAGCTTGATGAATGATCAGAGTGAACACACTTACGTGACCACCACTCAGATCAAGAAATATGGTACATTACAAATCCTTGTGCTTCTCCCAATTACCACACACTCCTTTCTCCTCCCCAAAGGTAGCCATTATCCTGATGTCTAACATCCTGTGTTAGTTTTAGCCTTTTTGTGCTTCATATACATGGAATCCTATAGCATGTATGATTTTTGTTTTGTTTCTGTTGTTCAACTTCATGTAGTAAGATTTATTCATTTCTTGGGAGTACAGTAGTTCATTGCCGAATATTCATTGTAGGAATACATCATAATCCATCCCTTTTACTGTTGATACTGACTTATTTCTAGTTTTGGGCCATTGAGAATACTGCCATGAATACATGTCTAGCATACATGAGCAGAATTGCTGCTTATAGGGTTTGCCAGACTGTTTTCCAAAATTATTGTTCTGATTTGTATTCCCACTAGCCCAGTAAGAGAGTTCCTGCTACTCCACATCAAGAGCTGGTATTATCAGTTTTTAAAATTTAAACCATTGTGTTGGGAGGTGTGTAATGGTATCTTATTGTGGTTTTAATATGCATTCCTCTGATGCCTGAGATTGAGCTCATTATAATACATTTAAGATAATTTGGATTTCCTCTCTTGGAAATACTTTGGTTAAATCTCTTGCTCAATTTTCCACTAGGTTATGAGTCTTTTTCTTACTTATTTGTAGACATGGATATGAGTCTTTTGTTAGTTATATGTGTTGCAAATATCTTTTCCCACTCTGCTCTGGCTTTTCACTCTAGTATCTAGATGAACTGTCTCTAATTTTAATGTAATTGATTTACCAGTCCCTTCCTTTATGATTAGTACTTTTTGGGTCCTATTTAAGAAATATTTTCCTATCTCAGAGCCATAAAGATACTCTTCTATGTTATCTTCTAGGAGCTTTTTATCTTCTACATTTATCTTGCACAATTAGGTCATATTCTACCTTTGCTCAAAGTCTAGTGTAAATCGGTAGCTTTATCCTTTTCCCAATGTACAGAATTTAGAGCACCTTAACTTAATTTACTTATTTATATGCTATTTTTATAATGTATTATAATAGAATATGTATGTAAATATTAACATATATTTAAATACATCAGTTGTTATATATAGTCAGTATTCATTTTGCTTTATCCATATATTAGTTACATTATTTGACCTCGTTTCCTTATATTTTTAAGAGTAACTCCCTGCCTTTAGAAATTCCTTTTAGCATGAGTCTGCTGGTGGTGAACTCTTTTTTGTTGACTAGAAAATGTCTTTTATTTCACTTTCATTTATGAAAGTATTTTTTCCTGGTTGGCAGTTTATTTTCTTTCTTTTTTGCTTAAAGATTTTAGTTATTTATTTGACAGAGAGAGATAGGAGCAGTCTCCCTGCTGAGCAGGGAGTCCGATGTGGGGCTCGATCCCAGGACGCTGGGATCATGACCTGAGCTTAAGATAGATGCTTAATGACTGAGCCACCCAGGCGCCCCTATTTTCTTTCTTTTTTTTAAAGATTTTATTTATTTATTTGACAGAGAGAGACACAGCAAGAGAGGGAACACAAGCAGGGGGAGTGGGAGAGGGAGAAGCAGGCTCCCCGCAGAGCAGGGAGCCCGATGTGGGACTCGATCCCAGGACCCTGGGATCATGACCTGAGCCGAAGGCAGTCGCTCAACCGACTGAGCCACCCAGGCGCCCCCTATTTTCTTTCAATACATTGAAGATAATCACTATATTTTCCTGCTTCTATGTTCCTGTTGAATGAGAAGTTTGCTGTGAGTCCATTGCCACTTTACTTGCTTCTCCAGCTACTTTTAAAGTTTTCTACATTAAAAAAAATTTTTTTATTTACTTGAGAGACAGAGAGCACAAGCAGGGGGAGGGGCCTAGGGAGAAGGAGAAGCAGATTCCCTGCTGAGTAGCCCAACTCGGGCTGATCCCAGGACCCTGGGATCATGACCTGAGTCAAAGGCAGATGCTCAACCAACTGAGCCACCCAGGCGCCCCTGAAGTTTTCTATTGTTTTACCATAATGTGTTTATATAAGGATTTAAAAAAATATATTCTACCTGGATTTTTTTGGACTTCTTGAATTGTGTGATATTTTTCATAAACTCTAATAAATTTTCAGCTTTTATCTCTGTAAATATTGTCTCATTTTCTATTGTTTTCCCCTCTGGGAGTTTAATTAGTATGCTAAACATCACTGTGTTCTCTATATCTGTTACCCTTCTCTTCGTATTTTTTTTTAAAGATTTTTATTTATTTATTTGAAAGAGTGAGCAAGTCCATGCATGGAGGGGCAGAGGGAGAGGGACAAGCAGACTCCCAGCTGAGCAGGGAGCCCAACGTGGGGCTCAGTTCCAGGACTCTGAGATGATGACCTGAGCTGAAGTCAGATGCTTAACTGACTGCACTACCCAGGTGCTCCTTTCTTTGTATTTTCTATCCTTTTGTTTTTCCATGCTGCATTTTGATTATTTTCTTCTGATTTGTCCTCCACTTTGATAATTCACTCTTCAGCTGTGTTGAATCTGATGTTAAAACCATCAACTGATTTGTTAACTTGGGGCACTGTAGTTCTCACTTTTAGAATCTCTATGTGGTACATTTTAAAATCTGTTATTTCACTGTTTGTAGGTTATGGTTCCCTACTGAAATCTAAGCTTGGCTTTTATCTCCTCGACCACAGTAAGTAGCTCTTTTACAGTTCATTTCTGATAATGTCAATATCGAGTTCCTGTGGGCATCTCTCTGTGATCTGATGTCTGTTTGCTGGACGTTTTGGTAGTTATCTGAAGTCTAGGGTGAGACTATCCTCTTCTAGAGTGAATGTCTACTTATTTTTCAAGCTAATCTGGGAACTAATAGTTCTGAATCACCAGGTTTTATTTTTGTTCAAAATATTTGATGCTCTTCCTTTTGGCAACATATGGTTTTCTCTGCCATGGACTTCAGGCTTGGCCAGACATCTTGTTTAGGACAGTGAAATGTGAAATAATCAGCTGAGTGACTCAGTTCACTATTACAGGAAGTAGAAATAGTTTCAATTACTCTTTTCTTTTAATCAACAAAATACTGTTTAGGGAAGAAATAATGGCAATCAGTGTTAGTTCCGATACTAAAAGAGATCACGTGATAAAATAAAACAAAAAAGTACAAAGAAAATTAACAGACTTAGTCATTATTGCTGGGGATGTGCACAATGCAAAGGAGACATATGACTGGAAAAAAGCATATTAAAGGTTATTTAAAAAAACAATACTGTAAGTGGTTACTTTAAGGAAGTCATGATTACATATTTATAGGCTGAATGAAGACTCACCACCCCAGAGGTGACATCAGCAAGACAGCAAAATAGGAGGTTCCCTTGTAAATATTCCTCCCTGCCCCACTGCAACAATAACCTGGCGGCCATCCACGGACAAAAGTGCATTTGTGGGAGCTTTGGGATGCAGGTTAAGGACTTGTAAAACCTTGGTGGAGCCCAGGACTGAGGAGGACCAATTTGAGAAAGCAGGCCTGGGCCCAGGTGGGAGGCTTGCCAACCCTGGTCCTGGCTACTGACCCAGAAATAGGCAGGTCTCCCTGGGGACTCCATTATGGTCCTATTTGGCTTTGGTCCTGTCACCAGAACTACCTGCCTAGGGACCCAGGAAGAATCACATCTACTTGGGCCTCAAATAATAGGCCTCCTGACCATGGTCCCAGCTGTGGAAGGTGAAGCAGCCCGTGATGGGGTTCCAGTCCCTCTCCGCCCTGGTCATGGATGGAGCAGTCTTCCACGTACAGGGACTTGCTAGAAGGCATGCTTCTCAGTGCTCCTGGAGGCAGACCTGCTGACCTCCATCTATCTGCAGATCTCAAAGTGGCCCTGTAACCTGGCTCCAGGTGGAAGACATGTCTGTCTATGCTCCTGGAGGCAGGCATACATCTTGGTCCTGGCTATGCATTCTGGGATGGACCCGGGACAGGCACCAGCTCCCTTCAGCTGGGGTGCAGAGCCAGTCCTGCCTGTTAGGAACCTGTTCAGGAAACTGGTGGGTGTCACGCCCATTCAAGCACCTGGTAACAGACTGTCTGTGGACCGACTGCGGGCCCTGAAGTGGACCCTTGTCCCAGCACCAGCCTTACTGCCCCAGGTCTTGGAGGCGGTACCATTTTCCCGGGGACCAGCAGGTCCCACTGTAACAGGCCCCCAAACTGTGGACCCAGCAGCAGCCCTGTGATTCCTGTCATTGTCAACAACACCATTTTTTTTTCCCTTTTCTCAACTTTTTTCTCTGAAGCAAGAGTGTCATGGTTAAATTTGGAATTGTCAGGAAGAATAAAGGATGTGACAGAAAACACCAGACAGGATGGCTGGGACTACATACTATCCCATGGGATGTTCTCGACGAAGAATAACACCAGCTTCTGACACACAAGTCATGTTAATAAGCCACAAGGAGGGAATATAATGAGGC